AGTCTCAGAAAGGCGCAGGGGAAGTTCTAGTCTGTCCTAAAGCGTCCCTGTGAGTTGGAATGGATTTGATGGCAGCCGGCTTTGAGTTTGCACATTGACGTTGACGTTGGGGACCTGAGGCACCACATGGGCTGCTTCCAGGTGGAGTGAAGGCCCTCCCAGCTACTGTGCATGGTGCTGGGCATGGTGTGTGATTGTGTGTGGAGGTGTTTGAGCCTATGCTTGTGTTTGTTGCTGATGCCGTACTCATTTTCAGGCCCTTTCCACTTGGCAGACTGCCCTCCACTTGGAGGGTGCTCAGGAAATGTTCACTGAGCAGACTCAGGTACAATTAAATTCAACTTGGGAAGGGGGCGAACGCTACAAAGGTATGATGGAAGCTCACCGACTTTGGTGCTAGCACCAGGGTCCATCACCCAGCCCCTCACTTCTAGTTCTGGGAAGGTGGTGGCTGCTGTAGCCTATGGAATCCTGGTTTCTACATGCACAACAGGGTGTTTATATTTACCTGCCTTGCAGGGTTGTGGTGTGGGTCTCATGAATATGTGTGCAAGATGCCTACCTGGAGCAGTCTAGCACAGCAAACAAGACAGACCCTGACTCAACTTTCAGGGAACTTGGAGTTTATTGCAGGAAAATCAACACCCAAAATGGAAACTAGCTCATTCCAGAGCTCAGAATGACTGCTTTGGAGGGCAAGCTGGGCCAAGACAGAATGCCTACCACTTAGGGGCAGAAGAGACAGCTCAGGCAGGATTTGATATTTGGGGACTTCTGAGGAGTACATTAAGAAGCCCTGGGTAGCATAGTGCTTACAAGTTGGACTGTGATACAAAAGGTCTGCTGTTCAAAACCACCAGCCAGCTCTTCAGGAGAAAGAAAGGGTTCTCTACTCCCATAAACAGTTTCAGCCTTGGAAACTCAGAGGGGCAGTTCTACCCTGTCTTATGGGGGTGCTGCTCTGGGTCATCAGTGACTTGCTGCCAGTGAGGTTTGTTTGTTTGCTTTTTAGGGATGGATTACCACATTGCCATTGGTTACCCCGCCCCTTGCAGGCGGTCTTGAGTGAGGAGAGGATTAAGCACTGTGCTAAGAGCACAAAGGGGGACTGGTTGGAGCCTATGCAGAGGGACCTCAGAGGAAAGCCCTCAGGATCAGCTCAGCCTTGAAAGGCCCCTGGAGCCCAGTGCCACCCTAAAACACCTGGAATCCCACGAGGCAGCTTCAACTCAGTGGTACCAGTTTGTTTGGGGTTTTGCCCCCATACCCCTCGTGTGGAGGTAGGGGACTGTCTGGAAACAGGAGCAGCCACCTCCAGTGAATGGCCTTTTGACATCCAACACTTGACAGACCCTAGGCTGAGCTCTATCTTTTCCGTCTAACAGCGGCAAGGCCACCCAGGTGCTGCACAGCGCCATTATCCTGCATTTCCCAGGTCCCAGATTGTGATGCCAAATTCTGACTCCTCTCTCTCCTACTCCCACATCTAGCTCACCTGGGTGTCCCAAGGGTAGGGGCCACCCTCACCCTTCCTTCCCCTCTTCTACCCTAGGGCTCTGCTCCCTGAAAGACATGTCCTCCCTCCATTCTGGTACCCTCAACTGGGTATCTCCCCCCAACTGTGCTCTGGGCAGGGGCTTACCCCATTGCAATGATCACTCACATTACATCAAATTCAGACCCCCTGGTCACCATGACTGCCCTCCCCCCACCCACCTCATCTGCATACTCCCCATCAGCTCTCTCCTCTGTTTGGCTGCACCCATGCCAGTGCGTACTCTGTCGAATGCCATCAGCCTTCGGCATTGTCGGTCTTTGTTCTTCATCTTGTTCCAAGCATTTCTTTTCCAGAAACTGTCCCTATGTGTCCTCGGTGTGCCCTGGGCCCATGGAGGCAGGATGAACCCCCAAAACTATTTCCCCGAGAAAAATCTTTAAATCTAACCTCTTCAACAAATTATGCTAGAAAAACTGAGTCTTCGCTTGCAAAAGCGTAAAACAGAATCCACACCTCACACCATGTACAAAAACAAACTCAAGATGGATCAAAGACCTAAAATGGCAATCACACAATTATAGACCATCCATTGTTAAATAGGGACCCTAATTCAAGCTTAAGGACCCTGATTCAAGGCAGAAACACACTACCAAACATAATGAAAAATATCCACACTATAGAAGATGAAATAAGGAACTGGGACCTACTAAAAAGATGACGTTTAGACACATCAAAAGAGTCAACAGAGAACCTACAGATTGGGGAAAAATATTTGGTAATAATACATCAGATCAAAGGCTAATCTCCAAAATCTATAGAAAAATACAACCCACTCAAAAATGGACACAAGACATGATAATTTACCAAAGACAACATCCAGGTGGCGAGCAACCATAGGAAGAAATGTCCGTGACCATTAGGAATAAGATAAAGACACATTTAAAAAATAATGAGCTATCCCCTCACACCGACATTTTCAGCACAATTCAATAAGTGCTGAAGAGGATGCAGAGAGAGAGGGGGAGAGATATGAATGCTTTTACATTGCTGGCAGGACTGTAGAATTGTACAACCATGATAGAAATCAGTGTGGTGCTTCCTTAAACAAATGAAAATACAATTACTTCCTGATGCAGCAATCTCGCAGACACATGTGCACCTATGTTTATTGCAGCAATTCCCATAATAGCAAAAAACATGGAAACAACGGAGAAGTGCAATGACAGAGGAATGGATAGACTAGCTCTGGTACATTCACACTAAGGATGTCATGGAAAACAAGGGTGACTTTCTTAGATACCACAAACCATGGACAGAGCTCGAGAACATGATGCTTAGCAAACTCAATCCATATTACAAAGATCCAGATTTAATAATCACCATTGTTATAAGGAAAAACAAAGAAAGAACTGTGGTTTGGAGACCAACAGAGGGCACTTTGATGACTGAGGTGGCCTGAGAGAGGGGAGGG